AACTTTGAGAAAAAAATTTTTTTAAATAAAATATTTTTTATTTGGAAGAGGGAAGTAAAAAGTAAGTTTTACTAAATCCTTTCCTTTTAAAGAAGAATTTTCTTTAAATTTAAAAAGTTTTAATTTTTCTATTAAGTTTAATCTTTTAATGAAACTATTTAAATATCTAGGATATATGTTTAATAAATCTCATTTTTTGAAAATTTTCGGAAATATATGCAGTTTTTGCAATTTTCCTATTATCTCACTTTAATTTTTAAAATATTTAGTTTATAGTTTAATAATCTAAAATAAATATTTTTTAATTTTTTATATAATGAACTTTTTATAGGTGTTAAAAATGGATATACACCAGGGTTTCGATCTCGAATTTTTAAACTCTGGTATACACCAAGGAACATCAACTTAAGATACCGCCGACAATTTTTTCAACGGGGAATCTAAATAGTTCCAACTTTGGATTTATTTGTTTCAACAGCAAGGGAAGTTGTTAAAAAAGGTTTGTATATTTGTCCAACAACATACACATTCATGGAATAAAATTCCCCGTTGATAAATTGTCGGCGATATCTTGGTCAATGCTTTGGGAATTGACCTGTTCCTTTCCTAAATTTACGTCCCAAAATTTTCGGCCGCACAAACATACAACCCAATAATACACGTATATTTCGAAATTTTTGTGGTAAAGGTTCAGAAAACATTTGAGACGAAAATTTCAATTTAGAGAATTCTCGACTGATAGTTTTTTACATGGTGACATGAATGTTATTGTACACATTTCATTTCATCATAACTTTTTTTATATTTTACATCTTTAGATATTTTTATACTCATTTTGTAGCCCAAACAATTCTTCTTTAGGTCCTATAAGCCCGGTTCCATTATTAAAGTTATTCCAAGTCTGGGTCACCCTGTATAGTAAATTGAATACGGATCACAATGATTATTAATAAAATAAGTGTATATTTTATGCGCATTGGCCAATTAAGTATGAATTACATAATCATGTGAGATGTTTCTACACATAAGTAAGGTCTGACTGAACTCTAATTGTACTAAAAATTCTTTTTAAAATTTTTAAAATTTTTTCCCATCACTTTATTCAAATATTTTCTCATCCGATTCCCCTTTCTTAAGTGCACATAAATTCTCGTATAATTTAATCTAAAAATTTATTTAAATTAATTTTCACATCATTCCTTTTATAAATTTTTAATTTAAAAAAAAGGCTCCGCCTTTTTTTACTAAAATATTTTTTCCTCATCTTTTCTCAGACATTCCTTGCGCATTTAAAAAATCCTTTTAAGACAAAAACTTTACATTTATTCTCAAATTTTTTTAAAAGAATTTTTTCATTAAATAATTTTTAATAAAAAAAATTGAGGAAGCCTTTGAATTAACTAATTTAGTATGAAAATATTTAAAAAGAGGGAATCCTTTTATCATTTAAAAAATATTAAAGTGCTAAATATTTTTTAATTTTTGTTTTTACTTGACTCAGAAATGGCATTTTTAAATAAATGATAATAATTTAGTTAAGATAAAAATACATTTTTGTGTATAGCACATACATATAAAGTTAGGCATTAAAAGGTTTAAATAAGCCAAATTTTTTTATTTACCGAGTATAAGTTCCAGAATCGAAGTTAAATTATAACTTTTAGTAGTGTTTAAAAAATCCTTTTATCTTTTTTATTCTTAAACCCAAACCACCCAAAATAAAAACTGTACTGACAACATAGAGTATGTTTTTGTGTTGTGTGTTTTTGTGTGTTTCCCGTGAAATGAGGATACCTTTAATCACATTCTAAATGTACCCTACAAGACACCTTAAATCACATTGTCACTTAACAAGCTGCCTTCAGCTTTTGTAACTCTTCTTAAACCTTTAGCTTTTTCATTAACATGAGTATCTAAAGTACATATGTATTATTTAATTAAGTAATAGCAACAAAACATAACTTTAATAAACACAATCTTACTAAACTTTACTATAATGTAAAAACATTTATTATGGTTTCATTTAATAGTATATCACTTGCGTTAAATTAAATCAACAACAACGAAGCCAACTAGCTAATAGATAATCCCCTTTTTTTATTAAAAATATTTTTCGGTTTTTATTATTTTATTAAACATTCCGTCATTAAATTTTAGCACATTTTTTCTTCGCTATAAACTAAATTATCTAACTTTAAACGCCTTTATTATTTCATAAATTTAGTAAACTCTATCAAAATAGTGTTAATTGCACACAACTGGGGTTGGTAAGTTGTGTTAGGTACTTGTACACAATTAGGTTAGTCACAACCGCTTTTTTCTGTGATGTATAGTTTTCTACTCCCGGTTATTACAGACCCTCGTTACTGGATAAGTGTCCGGATTTTTGTATAGATTTGCTTCTAAGAAACAGGAATTCCTCCTCCAATCACAAGCTAAAACATAATTTTCTTCAATAATACATACATAAATATCTTTATTCATCTCCTTTTTTCATGTTTTTGAGACTAAAATTATCAAATAATTCCAACTAGCAAGTAACTCTATCCAATGTATTCAAATATTTTTGCAGAATTTATTTTATTTATTTTATTTTTATGAATCTTTTTATCATAACATTTTTTAACTCATTTATAATTTATTTATTTAAGAAATTTATTCAATCATGTTATTATTACTTTACGTCTCATTCCTTACACTAACACAGACAGAAGCTATCCGTGGCGCTTTATTTCGTACCGGTCGGTCAGCTGATGAAGAGATATCTCCTCAATTAGTTGGAATAACTAATAATGCTTTTAACGCTAATAATTTGCCTGGAAATTGTCCAGAGGACGAGGAAGAAGAACAATTTTTAAGTATGGCATCACATCCAGCACTAATGGTGGATTTGAGACAATTACTAAAATTCTCACGGGAGAGAGCTTTGGCGGGGGAGGTTGGGAGAGAATTGGTGAGAAAATTTTTTTGATAAAATATTATAATAAATTTATAATAATAATTAATTATTGCTTTTATTATTATCTATATGAGATCCTTAAGTGAATTTTTCAATTAGTTAATATTACATAGAATCAAAAACAATAATTCGGGACTTGTTTGAATCAGAAATATTTGTAATTTATTTTTGCCATGTCATGCTAAGGTTCTCCCGATTTATGTTCAGTTTTCTGAACTAGAGATTCTAAAAATGCTAAAACAAAATTTGTAGGAGTAATTGAATGTAAACGAATAATCGAAATTATTCAATTATTTTATCGAGTATTCTATTCGTCCGATTAGAGTTGTCGGTTCAAGACCGAACCGAAGAACCGAGGATTTTTCGGTTCGGTTCTTCGGTTCAGTTTTGTATATCCGAAGAATTTCCAGGAACCGACAACCCTACGTCGATCTCCATAACAGACCGGAACTTTGGATTTTTTGCACAAAAAATTATTTCATTCAATTTTAATCCGTTTCGAAACATACATATCTATGTCTCCTTTTCGGACTAAAATGCAGAATAAAATTAGAAATTTTGCCTGCCTTGTATAATAAATCACATAAATTACATTAAATTTTGAACATTAATTTTAAACAAATCATTTAAGGTTCAACCTAACATCAATTCAAAATTTACCAATGAATTAAAAGATACTCAACAATACAAATCAAAACGTATGTCAAATGCCAGAAGAGCTAATGCTCCATGGAAATCACCAAGACTTGCTGCATATATTGCTTTGCTTAGAAATTCATATAAAAATAATTACCCCGGTTCTCTTTAAAAAACAAAAGAACTTTTGTGATTAAAAAATTTTCATATTTTTATTGATAATATTCAATATCTTTGCTTTTTAAAAAGCATTTTTATCAAAGAATTTTTGTGTTGTCTGTGTATATTTAAAATAATTAAAATTTAGAAAAATATTTAATTTTTATGGAAATAATTATTATTATAATCCAGGGCCTGGATTACAGTAATACTTCATTATTTTGTCGAAAATGGCTAATACTTGATTAAAAAAAATTTTTTCCCCATTTTTGCGTTCTTGCGTCTTGCGTTATTTGCGTTAAATTTCGGCCTTTCGTTGCGTTCTTGCGTCTTGCGTTTTTAAGATTCTCTCTTGCGCCCACCCCTGATCCAGGTTTCGTATATGTATGTGCGGGTTTTGGTACATTTCGGTTCTACCAAACCCATTCCCATCTATTCCCAGGATAATTTTATATTTTTCCCTCATATATACAGAATAGTCAGACTTCCTCCTTTCAAGGGGAAATTATTTAAGGAAAACTGAGTTTTAAACAAATTTTTAAGTACTTTATTTTATTTAATGATTAACTACTAATTTTAATTGTGTAATTCTTGATTATTTTTAGTCTCATCATTCGTTTCCATTGCATTCACTCCTAAAAATTTGAAAATTTTTATCTTTATTTGTTTTTCCAGTTTTTGCCATTTTCTATTCTACTTTGGTAGTCACTTACCGTACTTTATTAATTCCCCACCCTCTATTAATTCCCCACCCTCTATTAATTCACCATGCCATGGATGAGTTTAAAAAATAATCCCCCACCTCCGAATACAATACAAATACACGTTCAAATTTCAACACTCGAATAATTCCCCTCCCTTGAATAATTCCCCATGCCACGAATGGGTTGAAAAAAATAATTCCCCAGTTGAATTAATCGAATAAATACGGTAGTTTTTCTATCACTTAGTTTGAACTTTACCTCTTCCTCCTCCTCTTCTTCTTCTTCAATTTCTTCTTCCTCCTCAACTTCTTCCTCTTCCACCTCCTTTTCTGCTGGTTCTTCATTCTTTTCCTCTTCTTTTGGTTTTGTCTCTACTTTAGCAGAATCTCCACTATCACTTAGTTTAGACGACTTTAAATATATTTTATATTTATTTATTAAAATCTAATATAATCCAACCTCTCTTTCTTCAAATTTCCTCTTATATTTTTCAAAAGGATGACTAAATAATGAAAAATAAATCTATGAAAGGAGAATGAAATTTACGTGTCTGATCCAGCTGATGCCGAACCGGGTGGGCGATTTTCTTCCCACTCGCGCATTGCAGCCTCGTACTCCTCTACCCTAGAAATGGATTATTTGAATTAAAATTATTTTAAAATTCGTTTTAATCTATCACAAGCAGTGATGCGGGAATTCCAAAATTTTGCAGGTTCCAGTTCTTTAACCGGTTCCAGAAAATTATAGTTTCAAGATCCGGAACTGGAACCCCCGCATCACTGATCACAAGATCGATGTCGCTTATGATTCCATAAATTGGTTCGAATTCTTATTTTTGAAAAATAATTGGGTTTTTTCACAAGGGAGAGTGGAGGAAGTGGATAAGTTACGCTTATTCGGAGATTTCCAGAAGTATTATTTTCAAAAATTAGGGTTGTTTTTCAAGGCCAAGAAGTGCAAGTGGACTAGTTCCGCTTATTCGGAAATTCCCAAAAGCTCATTCTAACTAAAATCAGACCATTCTTTTTTCCAACCCATTCTAGTCATTGTATTACGAGGCGTTCCAAAGCCTGTCATTCCCTTTTGTGACGCTAATTTATTTGTGCCAGACTTAAATTATTAATTAAGAATAATTATTTTTATTTTTTAATACTTGAAGAGGCACAATCCCTTCAGATTTTAATCGCGAGTCTTCCGGAATTTCTTTTCCACCAGTTGTGTGGGGAAGAACATCACGCACCTTTTTAATTATTTAATATTGAAAAATCATACTTTATAATTAAATATAAACTATTCCTTAGAACTTTGATAAGATTTATGTTAAATGGGATTCCCGAATCCAGAAACCGGGAACTTTATTTTTGTCGGGAATTCCCGAAATCAGTAATTTTATTTTATTGTCGCTCGTTCCCTGGTGCATATTTATTGCACATGAATAAGGTTACACTCAGAGATGAATCGGAATTCCGATATCCGACAGTTCCGATTTGAGACACCTTAGTCATTTTCGATTCACTTCTGGTTATACTGTATTTGATTAACCTAAATTTATGGTAAATTTGTTTGTTATTGGTAGTAGAGGAATGCCCAATCAGCACTCCTATTTGAGATACACGCCGATATATTGTACAAATTTTTAGTTTTAAAGGTTGATTTAAAACGAGATTCGACTAATTTTTATTTACTTTTAAAAATCCTCCAGTTCCCTTTTGTGAAGCAAATTTATTTTGGCCAGAATACCAAGGAGTAAATTCTGAACTAGCACGAATATTCTCTTCTCTTTAAAAATAAAATTTTTCTATATACCTAATTTAATTAAAATTTCTTATAAAATTTTTTACGTAAATCCAAGCCCATCAATATCCTGTGTTGCTTGTCTGAATGCACCAAGCTGTAACAAATCGAAAATTATATTATTGGGAACTAAGCAAATTTTTAATGTTCACCCCCGGTGCACCCAACATTCCTTGTTGAGAAGCAAATATATTAGTGCCATATTGATAACAAAGCTTAAAAATAAAGATTAAATTTTATTGTTGTTGATTTATTTGAAGTTTTATATACAAATTTTTTTCTAATATTAAAGCACAAGTTGTATGATATTTTTTAAAATTTCTTTGATACTTTATATTAGGGTTGTTGGTTCTTGGAAAGATCCGAACCCCGAAGAACCGAACCCCGTTTGGTTCTGAATCCGCAACACTACTTGATATATATATATATATGTTATGAAAAGTTTTGTTTAGTTGGGTTATTATTTCCATATTAACCCTTCTCCAGAAAATATTTCTGGAAATCTTATTCTAAGACTAAAGTAAATACACCTATACCCATATAGTATCTATGGCAAGCAACTGAATGTTTTACATGCCATAAAGATGCTCAATTTGCATTTTTTACAAAAAATTTTTAAATCAGGCTTGCTATACTACCTTATCCTCCTAGATTGACATTTTTTATATAAATTTATTACGACATTTTCTTATAGTATTTTGTTATTTATTTTTTACCACTATAATTGTAATTTTTTATGTATTTTGTGGTTTAGTCAATAAATTAAATTAAAATTAATCCGGCTCTTGATATTTTCGTAAATAATTCTGTGAAATATTTTTAAAAATGTTACCAATCCATGTGTTCGTCTATCATTAGGCAAACGTCCACGAATATTTGGCACTTGATTTCGAGGTGCTCCCATATTTACCTTTTTTAAAAATTATTTTTTTAATTTTAATTTATAATCACTTCTCCAGCCTGTGTAGCAAATCCATAATCCCCACTTTGTTTTGGCAAAATTCCTTCGCCTTCCTTCTCCAAAATTGTTTCCCATTCCTTTTAAATATTTATTTTTTTAGGTTCTGAATTTTATTTTATAATAAAATTTAGAATTTAAAAATATTTCCCTTAAGATTCATCAAGTAACGGATCAATTAGCCTTTAAATGGCCCTCTCATAATTATATTTCTTTGAAATTTCATTTCAATTTTTATTTGTATTTAAAAATTTTTTACTTTTTATTTTCCTATTTTGAAGATTCCAATAATTTAGACTTAATAGTTACAATTTTGAAAATTTACTTAAATTTATTACAATTAGAAAATACCTTTTTGTATTCCACATTGGGACACTAAACAGAAAAATAATTGTTAATATAACCATATTTTTTTATAATTTGCCTGATTTCTGTTTGCACCTATCGGGGTTTGTCCAGCCTGTGATGCGTATAAATTTGTGCCTTTATAAAAAATTTAAAATTAATTTTCTAAACTATATTTTTATTATCACTCGACTATACCATGTCAAACATTATTCCTGAATTCTTAAGAAGAATAACCCTCACTCCGAATCATCCACATTAAGGTTAGGAAATTTTTGGATATCCGGATTTGATATCCCAACCGAAAATTTCCGGATATCCGTCATTTTTTCGAATCCGCATATACAGATCCGCCAACCCTAATCTATATACACAATGTATTTCCCTTAATGTAATTTATCAATGACTCTCCAGATCTCAAATTAGAATACCGTAAATACTAGTGCTCGGTTTAAAATTTTGAAGTGTTTACTAGTATTCGTTTTTGTGTACGAATACATGAAAAACTAAAGCCTTTACGGTGTACTAGTACTAGCAATTTTGTATTTCAAATACTGTTCTTTAAACACTTGAAAAATTTTTGAAACAAGAACTCCAACACCCATCATTAGGGCTCGGATTTATATTTAAATAGGGCACAAAAACGACCTTGGTCATGAACAAGCCTTGACTGACCAGTGTCTGACCATTGAGTTCTAATAGAAGAAAGACAGAAATGACCGGTGATAGTTGTAATTAAAAAATGGAAAGACAGTAGTCAGTTCGTGGGCAGGGCCGCTTCAGTTATTTATTTAAATATAAATCCGAGCCCTACCCATCATCGGTAGATTCATTATTTTAGCAATAAAAACAAAAAAAATTTAATTATTACCGCATTGTGGGCGAAGAAATTCTTCAGATTTTCTGTCTGGCTCAATATAACTAAACAACCGAATATTTTTTAATTATTTTTAAATAAATTATTTAATAACCCCAATTTTTTATCCATTGTAATATTTAAACGAGGCATTCCAGGTGCTACATTTTAAGTTTAAAAAATTAATATGCGCTCTAATTCTCTTTTTACCAGTCATTCCACGTTGAGTTTCGAATTTATTAGTCCCCGCTTGCATCGAAAGAAAGCTTTAAAAAATCCAAATTTTAAAAATTTAATTAAAATAATTAAATCTACGTGTCCCCAGCTTTAAGTTTTTCATAATTCCATCGTCTCCGTACTCCACCCTCGCCATTTTGCTGCAAATATTTTTAATTTTTATTTTATAATTATCTTTTTAATATACAAGGTGACAAAAAATAACTGATGTTAGCAGTTTATTTTTAGCATAACTTTATTAAACTTTTAAATAATGGGATCAAATTAAGCTTAGATGATAGAGAATTGACAAGGAACAAATATAATTATATTATAAAATTTTGGAAGTGCCCTCCGTTTGCTCGGAAACAAATATTTGTTTCGAATTTCTGATGAAATATTTTTGTAAACTCAAAAAGAGTATTTTTCATTAAAGCTTCATGAGAACATTTATTCGATGTTCCAGTTTTCTTTCTGATTTATTCAGTGAAATTCCGAAGGTATGAATCTTGATAGTGTAAAACAGGCACCTAGCTATCTAATTCCTAAAGCTATGCAGAAGGTGGCGTATGTAATGAATACGCTTTGTAATGAATGCGCGAATCAACTGAAGTTACTGTTTCGCTCCCAAACGCAGAATAATCTTTTGCATTAGCCGAAGGATAATAACTATAGCCCAGCTAGCTTTATCTACCAAGCTAACTTTGATATTGATACAGGAAAAAGTTATTTGTTAGAATGAGCTAAGGATCAGAATTAATAAAGGTAAAATTTGGTTCAAAAATTTAATTGTATTTTATGCAGTAAATTTCAGAAGCTCGAAAAAATATTCTAAATCAAAGTTTTCACTAAACTTCATAATCTTTAATTTTGACCGATCCCTAGTATATGCCCCAAATTTTCGGAAATTGTTAAACACTCAATTTCAAAATCAGTTCTTTAAAATTTTCTAAAATTGGATTTCCTATCACTTATTTTTCAAAAACCAACCTCATCTTCCATATTATTTTAAAAATTTAATTGAGAAATTTTTATTTTCTGGCAAGAATTTAAAACAATAAAAACACTATAAAATAAATATTTTTTAAAAATTTAGGGGACTCTTTTGACTTGAAATAATTAAAAAAAAGTTAAATATATGTTAAACTAATGTTTCTTTACTTTTATTTTTGTAAGCTAACATTGACTAAAGTGAGGATTTTGTGTTTGAATAGTAAAAAACTACAATAAAAGAGAAAAATTATTTTACTAGGAACAGATATCTCTAAAAGATAAAGTATATTTAGGCGCAAATGGGTGAGGGAGAGAAATGAGCTTTGTGATAAATATTTTTTCCCGATTTACTCAAAGAGAACAGTTTTCTTTAGGAAGGAGTTTTTAAAATTTCAGAATATTATTTTCTTTTTTGTTGTTGTTTTTTACATTTACATAGTTAATCTTAATTTTGAATTAGTATATGAAGAGGAAAACGAAATAAGAATAATTTTTTTGAAGAAAATCTTTAACGGATCGGATATTATTTTTGGAATCAAATTTGAATTAATTTATAACATTCAAATTAATATAAAACGTAAAATAAATTTCGAGGAATTAATATCTGTAGCTATCGTAAACTACAGGGTGGGGCAAAAGTTCGGCGACAAATTTTATTTTGTCCTATCTTAAAATTTACTTTATATGTTGCTTTTTGTTTAGATTTCCCATATTCTATGATTCGCGCTCTACAAATTTTATCTTGAAAATTTTTTTCTATCTCATAAAGTAAAAATTTTACTGAATGTTAAAAAATCGTGCTTCTATTATTTCTTTGTATTTTAAAAATGTTCGAAAATGTCAATTGCTAGACGGCTCGATATCTGTCGTATGTTGGTTTCCAAAGCAATAAAACGATATCATGAGCTTGGAAATACTCAGGACCGCCCCCGTAGTGGCCGGACTACTAAACATTTATTTAGTTTTAGAATATTCTAACAACATCATCAATCCTTTCAGAGTTACAATTTTATTTAGTAATGAAAGCAGATCACGCCAATTATTTAAAGCCAAACTAGCCAAGTCCTCCATATCCCCCTCAAATCCTCTTCTCTTAGTAGATCCTTTTCTCTCTCTTAAAATAAATATGTAGGTATATTCTTGAATGCGCAGGCGTTGTTGCTTACGAAGAAAAAAACATAAAAGATGATAACGGAAAGAATTTTTCTTCTTTTTTGTTTGTTTTTGACTGCTCAACTTTCTCCACTTCCGTTGAAGTTTTTTTTGTTTTTGCTTCTTTTATCTTTATAAGAAAATGTAAAGTTGAATGCATCGAAGCAGGGAACAATTTAAAAATAAAACTTTGATATTTCAAAATTTGTGGATTGAAAAATAATAAATAAATTTAGGCTGTCATTCATAATGCATATATCCTTTGTAGCTAAAATCCCATCTTATGATAATGATAAAAAGGAGGTGGTATCGGTTAGTCAGACCTCCATTTAATGACACAAAAATATTTAGTACCTGGAAACAAAAATTCAAAGGTGCCCAATGTTAACTTTCCTAAATTTCCGAGACGTTTAGTCAACATATTGAATCAAAGCTTTTGATCACATAAAAATATCTGTACAAAATTCTCCAATCTACCTACACTCTTAAATTCCCAAAAATATTTTAATTTTCCCATCTTCGGGGGCTCTCCATTTTCATGGGGTGAGATATACATATTTAGAATAAATGAGGCAATTAAAATAAACGATCTTCAAAAAATTTTAGTTTCTAAGCATAATAGTAAAATGCAAAAAAAGACATGATCGTTTATGATTTTTAGTAAAAATCGGGGCTAGACAGGATCTAATGTGGTAATTTTGAAATTTACACTTTATTATATTTAAAATACCTATACGTGTTAATATATAAATAAAAAATTAACAATATTTATTAATTATTATTTATATTATAATATGTTTAAAATTATAGAATAATATAAAATTATAAAAAATTTAAAATATTTCTTTTTCCCAATTTCTTCATTCAAAAGTAAAAAATAGAAAATATCAAATATGTCCAGCTATAGCTCAGTTGGTAGAGCGTGGGACTGTAGTTGTTTAGCGGTGATCCTGATGTCGCTGGTTCGAATCCGGCTAGCTGGAATTTGTTTTTATTAACTTTTTAATAAAAATTTTTAAACTTTTAATTTGATTAAAATAAATTTAAAAATTGGGAATTCATTTTAAAAACTTTTTTTACAACAAACAGATTTTTATTCAGCTAAGTTATTTAGCTAAACTTGTGAAAAATTTGTTTTAAATTTTAATTTTTAAAAAAATGTCTTTTTTCAATTTGATCAGAGATAGTTTAAAATTTTGCTTATCTTGCTTTTTTCGAACTTAATCTCAGAATTTCGAAAAAAATTTTGCTAAAAAACAGTTTTGTGCATGTATGCATTTTACTTTATTATGGTAGAGTTGTATAATAATTTTAATAATTGAATTCAAGAATATGTGGATTAAGATATGTAAACAAGGTTAAACCAGGGTTTCAATATCTGCGG